AAAATTGAGAGTTCTATGACTCTTTTTTAAATATTATTTTGCATAAGCCTGAGGTTTGTCTTTTAGTTATCTCTGGAGAGCCCTATATACTTTTCCTTCTGGACTGAAATTTCTGGAGATGTTCCATGCCACTTCTTTAAGTTGCATATGCAGTGGTTTCTGAGGCAGTGTTTTTTTTTTTTTTTTTTTCTGATTTGTGTTCACTAATGCAATGCTATGCTATACAATTTTTATAATTCTTCTGAATGTTAGGGCTGTCAGTGATGGAAAGTCAATAAAATATAAAGAAATGATAGACCTCTTCACGTGTAATGTTAACGAGATGATGCATTGATAGAATGTGTTGAGGTACTGGCACATAAAAGCATCATAGAAATTTTCGTTCCTTTTTAGGACTCTTTAATGTACCAGGCTTCATGAAAAATCCTATACAGCCATTTTCCTTAGGGAAAAGTGTTAACTGAAATTTCCCTTGTCAGGCATCAAGTCTTAAATATTTAGTTAGAATGACCAGAGGTAATAAATACTCACATTACTTAATAGCTGGTGTTAGGATAAATATATTACCAATCAGAGAGTGTCAACAGCCCATCAAAAATGCCCTAGGTGATCACATCTAGTTAGACCACACACATGATGGTAATCTCCAGCAATATCATGAATATTACTGCTTACTATGATTCCTTTCTGAGTCATTCAGACCTTTTATATTAATTATATTTACAAAGCATTGTATTATTATTTAGATGGATATAGCATTTGAAGATAAAGCAAAAATCTATTATTTGTCTAACAATCACTCTCCTGATCATGTTAGTATTTTGGTCACCTATAAAAATTATAGACACCATGACTATATTATAATATCACATCAGTCAGGAATTAAATGCAATATGAATCTGGGAAAGAGTTAAGTATAGTATAGATTCATAAAAACCATAGATGATTAATTAATGAGATAATATAATGAGATAACTAAGGACCAATTAAAAAGTATATTGAGCCTACTACTGATGGCTAACAATATCAAGTTTCATTACATAAGAACTAATATAAATATTTTGATAGACACATTTTCAAAAAATAATTCTTTTAAATGACACTGTTTCTCTGGTTACTCTTTCCAAGCACCATAACACTTTTCCAGTCTTTTTCCCCACAAAAAATCTTCTGAGAACTTTTAAAAAGTCTTATAATTGATAAATTTCCCCAATTGGACAAGGTCCAAACAGTAAGATAAATGAAAGTTTCTTTGAAGAAGAAAATAATGAACCACAAAATCAGAGAAAAAATTATATTGAAAAGATTGTTCCAAATTAAACGGATAGCAGACTGCGCCTTTCCTTTAAACTCATTCCAACTATAAAGGCTGACTCATGCTTCTCTAGATAAAAGTTTTTTCAATTTTTTTTTTTTTTAATCTTGTTTTGGACACAACTGTCATTGAGTGTAATTGGAAGGAATCCCAGGGTGACATGTGGCTGATGCTCTTTGCACCTGTATAAACAAACACTGCCCCCTACAGATCAGCATCCTCACCCTCTCTTTCCAGTCAAGAAATTTTCTTCCTTTACTACCTCTTTGTTTTCACAGAAAATCAATCAATCAGTCAGTGTTATGGCTTGTATCTAGATGCACCCCCCCCAAAAAAAAATCTCATGCAGTCATAGTGGGACTTTTTCAGAAGTGGCTGGATCCAGAACAGGTGGTTGATTCATGATGCAATGCCAAGATTAAGGGTGTGATTACTAAATTTGTCCTCTGATTGGTTTGACGCCACCATAATCTCCAATATAGAGTGCAAAAGGGACAGAAAGACGCTGTTAAGGGTCCCTGTTACTTTTGCTACTTTGTGGGCACCATGAACTGTTTCTTCTGTGATGCCTCCCTGCTGAGCCACCCTGCCTTGGAGCAAGTCAATTACAGACTGAAAGCTCTACAAACTATGAACCTTTTCTCCTTTAACTCTGGGCAATGGCTATTTTGTTTCAGCAACAAGAAAAGTAACTAAGGCAATCAGTCAGTTCAGATTCAAGATGTAATATAGTGTGTTCTATCCATGTGCATGTAGAGAAACATTGAGAGGAGCTGTTGGGGCACAGTGGGAGTAACCGGGGTATTTACCACAAAAGTTTATGGAATGTGGCCCTCAAGATATGCCCCTTAGAACCATGGCATCAACACCACTGGGCAACTTTGTTAGAATTACAGATTCTTGAATGCTGTCCCAGACCTTTTGGATCAGAAACACTGGGCGAGGCCCAGCAGGCTATGGCTAGTTAAACCCTTCATGTGGTTCTCCTATGGGCTTAGAACACTACCTTAGTGCACAAGGAGGATCTGCTTTGGTGACAGGAGAAAAGGACAAATCCACAAAGAACTGCAGCTAGCAAATTTGTTTCTGAGATGCAATGACCCTGCAGGATCTTAGCTGCAGAAAGCACATTTCCTGGGTGGTAGGTAGTTGAAAACTTTTAACTTTATTTCTCTGGATTACAACTATTTTTTACATCCAGGATTATTCACCTCAGGGGAATCCTGGGCATAAATTGTTTATTATTGTTCTTTCCACCCAGACTTGCAAGAAATTATGTAGATTGCTAAACTGTTTTCCATTGAGAAGGTACTTTGTCTTTTTAGAAACATTTTCCCATATTCATACATTTGTCCCAATTGAACTTGATTTGATAAATTTTGCTGAAGGAATGGAACTCACTTTTCTTACCTCAAAGTTCTGACTGTCTGTGGTGTGGACTTTTGTTTGAACTCTGTATTTGATAAAAACCATAGAAGTTCTAAAGAGCTGCCAGGAAACTGCAGGTCTCAGTACAATTTGTATATTGCATAGTTCAACTTTTCACTCAACAGATTAATTTCATTTTTCTCTATGAGAAGAAGAAAATTGTTCTTAGACTATTTGAGTTTTTATGTCACCTTATAATTTTTGCATCTGTTTATTCATCATGTCTGAAAACATGTCCCCCTTCCTTTTCTTCTTGTCACTTTTTTGTCTCTTTCCCCATTCATCTTTCTTTCCCTCCCTCTTTATTTTCTTCCTTTAAATTATATTCTCTTCCTTATATAACAGAAAAGGCTTTTGTTTTCTCTTAAAAATAAAAATTGAACCTCATTTGGGTAAATCACTTAGTATTTGACCTTCACTGTTTGTTTATATTTCATTACTGAGATTTGTTTTTCACACTGAAAATCAGATCTTAAATACCTATTTATTAAATGCTGTCATGAGGTTAAGAGAAAGCATCTGTTTAAATAAGTCTGAGTCTCAGTAAATGGAAAACATACCTTGCAGGTGGCCTTATTTTTAGTTGTCATTCACCTGTTTTCATAGTTGAATAGTAGCTTATTATATTAAAATATCAAATTTATCTATCCGTTCATAAGGTAAAGTATATGTTGATTTATCTGAGTTGTTATTTATGTAATATAATGAACATTCACATGTACATCACTTTTAATGTGCATACGCAAAGTTTTACTAAAGTAAATAATTGAATTTAGGGATACTACTCTATAAGCATCTTTTCTAGATAATACATACTGATTCCCAGAGACTGTACCTTTTAATACTTTCACTAGGAGTATACAGGGTTTCCTTTTGCTTCACATGTTTAATTGTAATTGATGCTGTTAATTTTTGCAAATTCAATAAGTGGTAATTACGCTTCATGTGTTTTCAATTTGCACTTGCCTAATTATCAGAGAGATTGATCATGTTTAAATGTACCAAGGGTTTATCATGGTTCCCTTTTATGGGACAATATTTGTCTATATCTTTTTTCAAAAGTTTCTATGGTGTTTTTTTTAAAAAGATGTATCAATTTGCAGGAGTCTGATATATTTTAAAATCTGATTATTTTCCTTTCTCAGTCATAGCATCAGAATAAATTCTCCCAGTATTTGGCTTGTGTTTTTACTGTTTGTAAATGATGCTTTTGATATACAGGATTGATTTCTCATTTTAACATTTTATGGTAAGTATTGTATGTACGTTCCTTGCATACGAAACACTGCTTTTCAGAAAGCATACTCTTAGATGGACTTTTCAAATTTTAAGATTCATCTTTTTCTAGGCCCTTAAGTATGTTGGCATAATTTTCTTATTTGTTTATATGGTGTGTGTGTGTGTGTGTGTGTGTGTGTGTGTGTGTGTGTGTGACTAGTTCATCACTTTCACACTGCTCTGCATTGCCCCTGTCAGATGCTGAGTTTCCACCTAAGTGTGTATTTGTTTCTGGAGTCTCAGTTTTACGCTCTTTTGTCTATTTCTGTTGCAACTCCATAATGTCTCACCTAGTTAGTGTTTATGATTAATGTTGATACTTGGTAGGTAGCACATATTACTTACATCATGTTCTTTTTCTGAATTATCTGGAATACTTGCCCATGATTTTCTACATAAAATATATAAAAACTGTAAGCATTTATAAACAAGCCAACATGCTTTAAAACAACATGCTGTATATGGTAAATACGTACAATGTATAAAATGTATTTATATATATACAATAGATAAAATTTTACTTCTAAGAAAAAATAAGCAACTATACACATATACATATATGTCACATAATTTTTCTTAGCTTTGTACTACATATGTAGAAAGTTTTGGATGAGAAGTTTTAGATTTGTGTTCCTTGGTCCTCCTTCCATCAAACAGAAAATGTCCATTTATTGAAGTTTCATTTTACTATTTCCTCTTGTTCTTAGAATTTTCATTAATCATTTTTATAGGGTCAACAGTGAATTTTCAGGTTTACTTGATGCTATCAATCCAGAACCTGAGCATTTTCCAATAGAGACCTAACACTTACCTCAGGAGATCTAGTTCAGCATACTACACAAGTACAGGACTCGTGTAGAGTATTTTTACACGCAGCTTTCTATTTAAGTATCTGTGATCATTTTGAGTTTTTTTCCCTCTGTTAATTTATATATGAGTATGTATGCTTATGAAAAGTATGTATATGTTTATGTTATAGGTGGGAAAATGCTAATCAGTGAGAAAGCCGATTTTTGGTCAGGAAGAATTATACAAAGTAGATCTGAAGGAAATTTGACTGACATGGAAGACCAAAAGTTCTTCAAAAAATGCAATAATACAGGTACATAAATTTGTAACCATTGGAATTTTTCCATATAAGTAAGTCAATTATATAAAGGCACCTAAAAGAGATATCAACTGTAGAAATATTCATGGAAGAGAAAACAATTGAACAGATCCTCAGAGTAAAAGGAAACTTTCAAGAGGGAAACCGAAGTGAGGACAAGTGTGGACATAAGAGAAATACTATCTTTATGTGTTCAAAATGCATTTTCTAATATTTAATATGTGGCACTTAAACTAGTTTAAGTCAAGATAATCTATAAATATTACAAATATTTCATAGTTTATTTAATTCATTTTTATATGAAAAACTATAACAATTTGATTGTTCATTTTCTCTAGAGTACCAGTGTCAAGAGATCTCAGATTCATTACTAACATTGTCTGAAAAAGGCCAAATATGTATGATTCTAAACATAAAAAAATTGACTTCAACATTGTGGAATATATAGAAATTTTTTAGGTGAAACATGGATATTTTAATGTGCACCTAATTCTTGAAACACTTACTTTGCCAAGTAATCACATGCTTCCATTTTTAGTGATTAAGATCATTTTTTTACACTTGCAGACTTGAAAAAGCTCAAAGAATTTCTTCCACCAGTAGTTTGAGCAGTGCTCTATTTTTTCAACATTATTTTTCAGACAAAAGATTCAATTAAAATTTATCAATACAAAGTTATCAAAAATGTTTTAAGAAATCATTGATAATTGACTAATTTAGTATATTAAATTTCAATAGATATATTTGATATTTCTCATATGTTGAATATTATCTGAAAAGGAAAACATGAAATTACTTTTCTAGATTTAATGAAACTATTCAGTGTTTGGAAAGTCTAAATAACTGACTGAATCATTCGCTTTGTTCAGAAGTTTGCTTTTGTGGAAATAAAACATAAAATAGTAAGTACATACTACTGTAGATCATTTTCAAGGACGTGTATTCAATATGTTATTATCTAAAGTATTTAACATTTCTTTATTCCATTTATATATCACCATATCTCATGTCCAATTTATCTACAATTGAAATAACTTGATAGAAAATTTTCCTTTCTCATTACATGCAAAATTGACCAAATTTAACATGAAGGTTTGAAGTAACTAGTAGACTAGAGATCACAAAGCAAAATAAAAAATTTTTAGCATATGGGAAAGGTTGATTGTTTCTTAGATTGTCACTTCATTTTTGTTTTGATTTGCTTTTGTTTACATGTCAAGAATGCCATGACCCAAGTTTGCATCACAATTGGCCAGATGCTTCTACTTTTTATGGTAATAATGCATCCAAAGCTGGGAATCCATTCTGGAATGAACTGTCTGCTTCTAATCCATTTTTGGATGATATAACTCAACAAAGAAATAGCCAGAAGAGAGATAATGTTTCCATCTTGAAAGAAGATCCTTTTCTTTTTTTAAGAGAAATAGAAACTGGGGATTCTTTTGATTCCTCTGGTGATGAACTTGATGTGCATAAGTTGCTCAGGCATTCCTCAGGGAATCCAGGAAGATCTAAAAGTGTTTCAGAGCTTCTAGGGATTTTAGATGATACTGCCCAGCTTTATGATGATATTCACAGTTCCAATCAGATTCTAGTTCAAGACTTAGAATGGCTTCAAAATGACCGAGAAGCTTATAAAATGGCTTGGTTAAGTCAACGCCAGCTGGCCCGCTCCTGCCTGGATTTGAATGCAATTCATCAGAGTCCCGGATGGGCCCAGACACAAGTTGCAGAGACCACCACAGTTTGTAAAATAAATCACCAAGGAGGATCTGTACAATTACCTGAATCAGACATCACTGTTCATGTGCCCCAAGGTCATGTAGCTGTGGGAGAATTCCAAGAGGTCTCACTTCGGGCTTTTCTGGATCCTCCAAAAATGCTGAATCATGATCTTTCATGCACTGTAAGCCCTCTTTTGGAAATCACATTAAGCAACCTGAATACAATGGAAGCTATTTTGCTGGAGATGAAAATCGGGGCTGAAGTGAGAAAGGATCCTTTCAGCCAAGTCATGACAGAAATGGTGTGTTTATACAGCCTGCAAAAAGAAGGCCCTTTCAGAGTGCTGAACACCTGCTATATTTATAAAGACACCATCCAAGTCAAGCTAATGGACTTCAGTCAGGTGATGTATCTAGTGATCGCTGCACAAGCTAAAGCTATTCAGTCACCAGCTGCCACCATTTGGGACTATATCCACAAAACCACCTCAGTTGGAATTTATGGACCCAAATACATCCATCCTAGTTTTACTGCTGTTTTCACTGTCTGTGGACACAGCTATATGCCAGGAAAGCTTACAGTCTCCGATATTAACAAAGGTAGGAAAAGCACATCTCCAGTTGTATTTCATCTCTGGGGGAAGCATTCGTTTTTACTGAACAAACCACAGGATTTAAGTATTTCAGTTTTTTCATGTGACCCAGATTTTGAAGTAAAGGGAGAAGCAGAGAGGAAAGAAATTAAACGAAATCAGTTGGAAACAGGCGAAGTAGTTCATCAACGATTTTTATTTTCTCTGGTTGACCACAGGGAGATGCATTTGTTTGTTTTCCGTGTTCAGGTGGATACCCCCGACTGTAGACCAGTTGCACAGTTCTTTATCACTTCACCTGATCCAGCTCCAAACTTAAAAAGGCTCTCAAACCTACCAGGTTGTCTGAAGGAGAAAGAAGTCAAATCTGCCCCTTCACTGCCAACGCTGCCTGTTAAGTATCCCACCTTCCAAGATAAAAAAATGAACTTTACCAACTATGGGGTGACCCTGAAAACAGTGCTAAGACAAATCAAGCTTGACTACTTACTTGAATATTTCAAAGGGGACACTATAGCTCTTCTTGGAGAAGGTAAGGTAAGAGCCATGGGGCAGACCAAAGTGAAAGAATGGTACGTGGGTGTCCTCCGAGGTAAGATCGGACTTGTGCATTGCAAAAACATCAAGGTGATTTCAAAAGAACAAGTAATGCCTGCGTCAGACAGTATCTTTACAACCAGGAATCTTCTCGAACAAATAACCCTGCCCTTTAAAAAACTGACTTACATATACTCAGTCGTATTGACCTTGGTGTCTGAAAATGTGTACGGCTGGAAAGTTTTAGCTGATGTCCTGGGATACTCACATCTGTCACTGCAAGATTTTGATCAAATACAAGTGAACAAAGAATCAGAAAGGGTTTCTTATGTGGTAAAGAAGCTAAAAGAAGATTGCCATGCTGATAGAAATACAAGAAAGTTTCTTTATGAACTTGTTGTGGTGAGTACTGCTTGATGACAGTAAGTTATTTGCCACAGACAACTGTATCTGCTTGAGCAGCCCTGACAAACATAGAAGAAATGTCTAAAAATTGTCACAAATACTTTCTAGTCACTTTAGAGCAAACAGAGAGCTTTTCCTACAGGATCATATAATTGGATTCTTAGATTTCTGATTCAGTTTTGATTTCCTCAGAAAGTAGGTCCCCAAAGATCATCTTTTTAAGGGAAGTTTAAAGGTTCTGTTTGTGTATATCCTAAAACTAAAGAGTTTTTCTTCCTTTGTCAAATAGCCGTCAAAGGATCAAGAGAAGCTCTATAACTTGAAAGTAAATAAGAACAAACCTAAGAAAAACTAACTTGGCCATTGCTAGAGGTCTGCTTTTCATTATTGTTTAAAAAATATTATCAGTGTCCTGCACTGTGGCAATTTAATTCCTCTTCTGTTTGCACTGCATTGCAACAAGCAATGATATTGTTAATTCTCTCTTTAATCTTCACTTTCTAATAACATGTTTATCTTCAATTTTTCAGTTAGTAAATATTTATACCAGTGAAAGGCTTAGAGTCCAGAAGAATGTTTTTAAAATTGAAATCCAATAATTTGTAAAAGATTAAAAAATTAAGAACATATTTCTGAACACCATATTTCTAAAAAATGATAAAAATGTGAGCATACAATGATTGCTAACACTTCCTGAATAATAGCTAATACTAAAAGCCAGTGATGTAGGAGAGGAGTCAGATTATACAGAGAGGTATATATAGAAGAATAAAGTTTTAATCAAAGTACAAAAGGAGGGCAAAAAGATTGTAGAGGAATTTTAATCTGTGATGTTAACAATAATTTATATATTAAAGAAAAAATATCTAAAACATTTCCTATACTTCAATGTTTTTGATGATTCTACAATGATGCTAGAAATTAAAATTGAAGAGCTCTAATATTCAATTAGTAAGTGAATATTTGTTTTTTGTAGTGTGCTTTATTTTCATTTAACTTGGACCACTGGAGACTGAATGCTAGAAGCTGCTCTACCTTTAAAGCTGCATCTGTATTTGCAATAAAATAGCTCATTATTTTTTACAGTTCATATTCAGCATATATTCACAAAGGTTTAAATCAAAGCTGGCTTTCTTTTATTCTCTGGTTGAAAAGTAGTTATATTAGCCCAATATCAAACAGTTAAGCCTGATGATACCTGTATTTCTTGGAGGACATGAAAATGAATGTCAGACTAGGTGACGAATGATGGTAGAAAGCTCATTCAAGAGACTAGTTCTTGAGAGAGCCCCAAAACGCATGTCTTACTTTAGTGAAGGCTTCTGTATGGAGGAGACTCAGGCCTAGCCATCCGATAGGAGACTGACTGAACAAGGAGTGTTATCTCTTAAAACTTTATCTGTGTAGTAAATAAGCATCTTTCTTAGGCTGTAGACTAATTTGAGGAGGCTGGTTCAAAGGAGAATTTACAAGAGGCTATCCTTATATACTGATGCTCTATAGAGTCTTTTAACATATGACATAATCTTTATATTTACTGTGCAGAATTAGACAAGGTGATACTATTACCACATCAATTTTTAAAATCATTAAGTTGAAATAGTAAGTAACTCATCTGAAGTCTTATTCTTTGTGGAGACTTGTTTTAAATTTAGGCTCTGTGACTTTAAGTGGTAACTTTATTTTGCTCAAAGGAGAACCTAGACTAGACAATGGTAAAACCATTGTATAGTCTACTAAAAACACCTTCAGGAACCCACTGGCTCAGTATTGCTTCTCATTTAGGCCCTATCTGCCAGGGGAAAAAAATGCATAGATCAATTCAGTCTATGTATAACCACAGGTGGCCCTTCAAATCATGTACTTCCATGGCAATAACCACTCTGTATATTTCAGTGGTCATATGACTTGATCATTCATTTTTTGCTTATTATATCCTAATGGTAGATAAACGTTCTGAGCAACATTAAGTAATGAGGAGCAACTAAACATTTTTATTTGCTTATTGTACTAAGGACATACATAAAAATAAAATTGCATCTCTAAAATATATTCAAAAGAGCTGAGGATTTAGCTCTGTGACTAAGCACCTGCTTGGCAAGTGCAAGGTCACCAGTTCAATCCCTGGTACCAAAAATGATAAAAATAAATAAATAAAATATATTCAAAACAAAACAGAAACCTGTAGACTTGTTCAAAACACACCTGATGAATGAAAAAGCTCAGAAATACAAAAACAAAAGATGCTGATGATTTTCCATTTGGCCATTTACAACACTGTTTTATCTTCAGTAGCCTGTGTTTTATATTTAACACAATTACATCAGTAATGAGAGAGACCATTGGTTATTTTAAAAGAAATGAACATTGATAGTTTTATTCAAAGTTGGAACATCTTATTTGTATACAATAGAGATGATTATAGAAAGATTTAGATTCTTCTGGAGTGCTGGAGATTGAACTCAGGGCCTCATGCATGCTAAGCATACTCAAATTCTAGGATGTTATAAATTGTACTTTGGTGAAAAAAATAAAATAATGCTTACCATCACCAGTGATTTCACTCTTTAGAGAAATCGTGTAGCTAATTCTCTGGTAAGGCAAGCAATTATTTTTTTGTAAATCAACTTTGAACTGATAGATTAGAGATTGCTAGAATCTCAGTACTTTTGGAAGTGTGTATTCATCCTTTTCCTCTTGCAAGTAAAGATATAAAACACACTGGTTCAGTGACTTACCCATCATTGTGTAGTCATTGATTTAGTCCTATATCTCTTCTAATTTGATTTACCTATTCTATTATAGTGCTTGTTGAATTTGCTTAACAATAAATCAATGATTTGAGCTTTAGAAAACTCAGTTATATATGTTTTTTTTTTAATTCCAATTTCTAGAACATGTAATGAAATTGTTAATTTAAAGAAAAAAAAATCTTTAATTCTACCACATAATTATTGCCACAGGCTCTGCTGAAAATGGACTGCCAAGGGTTAGTAGCACATCTTATCCAAGAGGCTGTGATTTTGACTTCAGCTGTCAAGCTTGGAAAAGGCTGGAGAGAGCTCGCTGAAAAGTTAGTGCACCTCACAAAGCAACAGATGAAGGCATATGAAATTCCTCACCAAGGAAAAACTGGAAGTGTTGCAGTCGAGGTGAGACTTTGTCTAATGTATCATACGATAGTGAACTGTTGCAGAACAAGTAAAATGTGTGATGAAGCCTGGACCATATGCACAGGGAATGTCCGTGATCCACTAACTGAAATCACTACAGAAGTAACTGAGCAAGCGGCCACGGATTTTGTTGGGTAGCAGAAGCACCCGCCTGGCAAGGGCGAGGTCGTAGGTTCAAAAATGTGTTGATGTTTCCCCCTGAATTGCACATTAACATGCCTTTGTTAAGATGAATTCATTAAATTGGATCATTAAGAAGGGATATAAAAACATGAAGCACACAGCAGCTGAATTTTGAAGGGAAGGAATTGGATCCAGCCAATGCAAAGGAGGAGGATATTAAAAGTATTTGTAAATCTCGGACCTTGACTTAGTCATTTGTCACAAATGTGGCTGATTGTCAAGTAGGAGGAAGACGGTGGATCATGTGAGACCCCTGGCAGTGAACACTGAAGCTGCCTACCAATTTATTATTGTCCTCAGAATGATCATACATTACAAACTACAGGTACCAAATACAGAACGGCAGAATTTAGTACAAAGTAAACTTTTGCCATGTAAACACTGTTGTGTTTTTCTTTTTCCAATTTTATTAGTACATTTTAGACTGCATAGTGATGGCATTTGTCATCAGGAATTTGTACCTGTACTTAGTATGTCTTGATTCTTCTTTTTTCTCCCAATGTCTTCCCCTCCCTTCAACATTCTCTACCTCCTTATTTACAAAATTTCCACTTCTTTTCTCTTATTTCCTTTTTTCTTTTCCCTTCCTTCTCCTCCCACCTCCTTTACTCCACTTTCAATTTGAACATTTTCTTACCGTTTTCCAATATTTATTATATATTTTGATCCTTATTTACACTTTTGCTTTTTCACACCAGAGAAACAATGCAGTATTTAAACATGTGTGTCTGATTTATTTCACTTAAGAGCTTGGTCTCAAGGTGCATCCATTTACCTGCAAATGCCTTAAGTTTATCCTTCTTTGCAGCAGAGTAGTATTATGTTGTATAAAAATATCATTTCTTCTTTATCTGGTCATCTGTTAATGAACAGTTGAGCTGTTTCTGAGATTTAGCTATTATAAATCGTGTTGCTATAAAAATAAATGTGCATATATTGCTGTGGTATGATTATTCCAGGAAGATACTGAGAAGGTGAATAGCTGGGTCAAACGGGACCTCTAATTTTAGATTTTTGAGGAATCTCCACACTGATTTTCACAGTGGTTGCACCATTCTACATTCTCAGCAGCAGTGGAGAAGGGCAATTTTTCTCCATGGGCCCTCCAGTACTTTTTATTGAGTTCTTGATAACCATTCTTTTTGGAGTGAGATGGAATCTAAGTAGTGTTTTAATTTGCATCTCTCCAATCATCAGGGATGTTGAACACTTTTTCATATATTTATTTGCTGTTTGTACTTCTTTGGTTGAGAAATGTCTGTTCATTTCTGATGCCCATTTCTGGATTGGGTGTTTACATTTGTGGGGGGAGTTGTTTTGTTTTGTTTTGTTTTGTTGAGTTACTTATATATTCTAGATGGTAGTCCTTTCTCAGAGGAATAATTGAAAAAAATGTTTTCTCACTCTGTAGGTTGTATCTTCATTCTGCTGGTGGTTTATTTCGCTGTGTAAAATCTCCTTAATAAGATGAGATCACATTTGTTGATTCATTGTATTATTTTCTGTGTGATGAAGGTTTTATTTATAAAGTCTTTGCCTACATCTGTATCTTCAAGTGTTCTACTTCTATATTCCAATAGATTTAGGGTTTCTGTTTTAACATTTAGGTCTTCAACCTATTTCAATTTTAGTTCAGGGCATAATGAGAGATAAAGGTGTAAGTTTAACCTGTAGCATGTGGAAAGCCAGTTTTTCTAGAATCACTTATTAAAGAGAGTATCTTTCTTTGAGTGACAGTTTTCAGCCCCTTTGTGAAAAAATAGATCGGCTGAGTATGTTTTGAGTTGTTTGCTTCTTCTAATTTGTTCCTTTGATCCTCAGGTCTAATTTTCTGTTTGTTTGTTTTTGACAGAAAAATGCTTTTTAAAAAATCTCAGTAGCTTTATAGTTTAATTATAAGCAGTGATTTTGATGCCCTATGCCTTGTTCCCTTTGTTGCCCAGAACTGCTTTTATTATTCTTGGTCTTGTCTGGTTCCAAATGAATTTTAGGGTTATTTTTTCTAATTCTGTGAGGTATGCTGTTGGTATTTTGATTGAGATTGTATTATATTTAACCCTAATCTTAACCCTAACAATAACCCTAACCTAACCCTAATTCAAACCTTAAACCTAATCCATTTATGGAAAATCAACAACCAACATCATACTAAGTGGTCCAAACATGAAAACTTTCATTCTAAAATCAGGAACAAGACAAGGATGTTCACTGTAACCACACTTACTTCATATACCTCAGGAAACATTAGCCAGAGCAATTAGACAGGAGAAGAAAATAAAACGAATAAAGATAGAAAAAAAAAGTTAAATTATCATTATTTGGGGATGATATGATATTCTACATAGAAGACCCCAAAAACTTCACCCAAAGACTTCTAGATTTAATAAGCAAATTTAGCAGCATGGCTGGATATGAAGTCAACTCTCAAAAATGAGTAACATTCCTGTAAAGGATAAATTCACTGCAAGAGAAACTAAGGAAATCACTTTCCACAACAGCATTGAGAAAAAAAAAATGAATGAACATAATGAAGCAAACAAAAGAACACTGCATTGAAAATTATAATACTCTGAAAAAAGAAAATGAAGAGACTGCTGTTGATTTTAATCAGTTACAACAAATATATTCTGTTAGGCACATGTTAAATTTTTTTTCCTGATTACCATAATGCAATGTGAGTCAACTCTTACTGAATTAAATAAAAAAGTTATTCAATGATGAACACATGCAAAATGTTCTGTATTTTTCACAAGTATATTTAGCAAAACATTCTCACTCTTATTAGATGATGACTTGGTAGGAACAGAGCTATGTTCTCCACATCCATTTTGGGCATTGAACTGAGTATTAATTTTTAAATTTTTTTTTCTTACTGTGAAGCAACTGTTCCAGCTGGGTGACTAAGACAGAGCAATCTTTCCATGCAGAGTAAAAAGTCAAACCAAGTCAGCTGAATCCTAGCAGCTGCAGGGAGTGTCAGCTGCCGGCCTCTGAGTTCTTAGAGCTGGCTTTCTGTCAAGGACTCCTTATGCCGGGAGTGGCTGAGGGCTAATGAATTACAGCCGCTCACAGACTACGTTTCTCTCTATAAACTTAAAGGAGATTTCAACCTATAATGCGCACCAAATGCAGTCTGCAAAGTAGAACCAAGTGTCTACTGAGTGAGCCAAAATATCAGAAACCCTTAGAAAAAGAAAAGAACAATATTGTGAGAAATGTGGTATTCCGACTCTGACATTTCAGCTGATTTAAAAAGCTGTCTAATTGAAAGTACAACTTCTTTTTTTTTTTCTTAAGAAGGTGCTGTTTTCAATCTTTTGTGGATAGTTATTGGAGAATTATTTATTCTGTCATCCTCCTTAAGCATCTGGCTTTTCTCTAATTATGTTTATAGCTACCTCCAATCTTGATGGAGGCCAACAAACAGCCCACTTTTCCATTATTTACTTTTGCACAGAACAAATCATACATGACTAAGTCTATGCCTGAGGCTGATAAATACTCAGAAGCATAAAGGAAATCCCCTACATGTTTTTCTAGGGCCAGTGGTACAATTTACTGTGATTTATACTACCAGTCAGACTCAGATCCATTCTAAATAACCCATAGGAACTTTTTTCTGTTAGGCCACTTAACCTACAGGTTCAATATATGCTAATTTCTGTCTCCCTAAAAAGAATACAAATGTACAGTTCTCTTTTTCTCTGTGGAGGGATTTGGTTTGTAAGTTTACAAGTCCAGCTGTTGATTGCAAAACACACTGAAGTTAGCTCCGAGCAGGGAACCAGCATTGAGGCCAAGAGACAATCAGTTTAGTAGTTCCTCTGCTGGCGCTGGTCTCTTTATCTCACTTGCTCAGAAGCCCCTTCACTCTTTTTTTTTAAATCCCTTTCTGTTTCTCTGTCTTTCTTCTGTTCTATTTTTATTGTTTTGAGTAGACAGTTATCTGTCATATGTTCCTGGTGCTTTTCCAGAAATGCCACAAAAATTATTTGATAACCTCAAAAACTTTCCAACACAAACTTGCAGGGAAGACCGAAATATTAACTAAAATGTACAGGTGTTAGATAACTTCAGAGTTAGAATGTCCCAGAACCAGGGTTGGAACACAGCCTTTACCTTCTAGGTTCAAATCCAGCAGGGTGACTACATCTTAGACAAGAAGGTTGTCAGGGCTGGGGATTTAAGCGACTCATTTTATTTTTTGTCTTCCTTTCAAGCCAAGATAGATAACTACTAAAATTGGCCCTGAACATCTTCATCATGCCTCAAACTTATTAAAGAATAGAGAATATTAATAGCATGTCTTTTAGATTTTTCTTGAATACCTTTCTCTATTTCATATTGTTTTGTCATTTTTTAAAATTAACCATCTCCCCAAATTCAATTTTAAGAAAGTTACTCAGCACTTCTAATGACATTGTAATTCCTAATTTAAATCTAACCTGTACAGATTAGATTCTTGACACAATTAAAATGTATATATTTCTAGATATTTCTTTTTGAAACAAAGTACATTAATGCTATGAAGATGTAACTATTGCCCAAGTTTTTCCAGGAAAACTAATGCAGATTCACTGGTACTTTTCTGAAGCCATTAGTGGTTTAAAATGTAGAAGTAAGTAAAATATTAAAAAAAGTTTCTTTTTAAAAGTTGGATTTTTTAAAGAGAAAATACTGGAGGTGTTAAATATTTCACGTGTAAAATATTCATAACCCTGAACTGGGCGCTCTTCCCTTAGCCTTCCCAGGATTATCACCATAGATGAAAAAGTAATTCCCCAATGGCTCTCTCC